CAAAGTCAATGGCATTAAGTCTAATTCTATGTGGACAATTGCTTTTCTGTTCTACTAATATGCCTAGACATACATACATACATAAAATGGTAAAATGGAAGTAATTCATTCATAATCACTGAACTGAAACTTTTCTTAATATTAACTTTAATAACAACTATGTATTAAAGAAACATTTGAAGCAAACACCAGAATATTCAGAAGTGGGAAACAGTTTACATGAATCTATTTGAAGATGACCTGGACAACATTTCCCTTATTACATAATGTAGGACAAATGAAAAGGGTAGTTTGCAGTAAAATCACTTATCCAGAATGGCTGTACATTTCACAGGGCTTTATTCAGCTGATTGTCATCTATATGAAGAAATGAAAAAGCATTACAATGAAGGAATATTACACTTTTGGTCCTTAAGGAACAAAATCTGTTTCACTGGAACAATATGAAAGACCATTTTTAATTATCTCTGGTCATTTCAAAAGGTCATCGTTAATATATCATAGCTATCCAATGTCCTTAAAGCTAAGCTTCCAAATTCATGATAAGGCCATACTCCTATTAATAAACCATACCTCAGTTTTCTTGAGTATTCATCTGATTCCGCTATTATCATCCTTAATACATTAAACTTTTTTTTCATGTATATTTGCTAAACAATATATGCAATATTATAAACTTTTAATAATAACACTTGGAAAATACAGTTTTTGGAGAAAGAGAATCTATTCACACTAGTCAGGAGCCTTACGTGGGCACCTTTGGAGAATGTGGAATTGGTGGTGATTTTGTGATCAGGAAACATTCACATAGAATCAGTGCCTACTTGTTTTGTCCATACCATATCCCTCTTTTTTTTCTTTTGCAAGTGAGAAAATAATCCAATTTAAATTGATGAAAGTAACAACATGGTGAGGGGGGAGCCCTGTTACGATGAGTTTGTGTTTCCACTTCACAATAGCACAGAAATCTGTCTTGGTAAACTTTTTTTGATCTTTGACTAAAGCTTTTCTCTTTCTTAGAAATTTCTCTGCCCACTTAACAGGATTTGGGGAGGATCAGGTAGCATTTCATTTTACTGTACACTTTCAAATTCCATCTTTTCATTGTATATTTATTAGATTATTTATTGTACAGAATCTGAAAAAAATATTTTCCATTTGATTTTCCATTCATATAGATGACAATCAGCTGAATAAAGCCCTGTGAAATGTACAGCCATTCTTGGTAGAGTGGAATGTGTTTTTGTGCAAGTCAAATGTTATAGAGAGGAGATGGTTTCCTTTTGACTCCAGGAATTATGATATTTTCATCCAGATAGACAAGATTATATCCAATAATTTACCATAACAGAAAAGAATGTGTCATTACATCATAAAATTGTAGAGTTGGTCCTACTGTTAAATTGTTCTTCATGTTAAGCAGTTTTCCCAATAGACAAATGAAATCTGATTGGTTGCAACTTAAGCCCGTGTTCCCATGGTCTAGTTTTGGAAATGATGCAGAATAGGTCAGGTCTTGACCATCTGTGCAGTGACATATTTGAAAATTGCTGTCACATCAAGGCTAAACATATCCAATTCCTTTTATCTCACAATAAAGTGTTGCTCCCATACTTAAGGTGGGGTCAGATGAACACCAAATGGAGTAGAATGATTGTTTCCCATGACCTAGAAACTATAATTCTGTTGCTGCAACTTAGAATTGTGTTTGCCTTTCTTGTAGCCATATCACATTGCTGAGTCATCTTCCTTTTGCACATAGCTACTATTCCAATATATTTTTCCAAATATTATTACCAAGCCAGGAATCCTTCATTTTATACCTGTGAATTTGATCTCTTTTCCCTAAGTAAAGAATATCACTTCTGTATTAAATTGTTATTTTCAACCCATTCCTTAACCTTATTGAAATCATTTTAACATAATTTCTGTTTTTAGCATATTAGTTATCTTTCCTATTTTTGACAACTGTAAATTTAATAAGCATTCCATCCACCACCTCATTGAAAATTAGAGAACATGGACTGAATTTTATGGTACCCCACTCGAGATCTCATTTCAGTTTGATGAGGAAACTCTCCCTGACTATAATTTTTGAACCAATTAATGTCAGCTAATTCTTAGCATCCCATAAGCATTTTTATACATTTTCTTGTTCACTTTATAATTAAATAGCTTCAGTGTTAGCCAGTGCAAGAGAATGTAGTCAGTGATAATAAATCCAATAGGTATCAAATACATTTTTGGTACAAAAGAAGCAGAGATCAACATAGAAAGTTTTCTCCCAGTTTATTGGTTATCTGGCACAACTGTATACCCTGCCTAGCAATAGCAGTGTGTGATTTCATTCCTGAATGCAGAGACTCCTCATCCTGGCATAGTTGGTGGGGCTCAGAATTGGGATCCTTTGCATAGAAGGGAAACATACAGCAACTGATTCCATCCTTTCTGTTTTGTTTTTAATTTGGCATTTTTTCAGCTGGACTGTTTGATTTGATAAATACCACCTTCCAAGAACTAAATATTAATTGAAACAATCAAAATAAAACAATGAAAATATCAGAATAAATAAAATAACTGCATTCTGATTGATTAAACACTGCTTTATTGGTTTTTTAGCAATCTGGCTTTATTTGCTCCTTAGATGTAGGTGCCAGAAGATCATGGTGGCATTCCCTCCATCAATCTTATTCTACAACAATAATTATGTGAGATAGTTTGGGCTGAAGTGACTGGCCCAAATTTACTCAGTGCACTTCCATGACAGAGAGTAACTTGAGCTTTCATTGCCCCAGTTCTAATCTGACAATTTAAGCACTATGCCATATTGGCTCTTCCATTTTAAATGATTAATAAATCATATTATTTTGTTGTATTTTTGTTTGAAGATATGTATACACACATAAGCACACACACATACATTCTAGAGGTGAAATGGTATAGTATCTCAGGATGAGAAAAGGTACAAACAAAATTGAAGGTCCCTTATTATTGCAAAAAACTATGAGGATGGATTAAAACAGGTGTCCACGTTTTTGGACTGGAGTGCACATTTGGAATGCTGACCATGCGCTGTAGGTGCTTTTATAAAATAGGGGGAGCTTGGTCATTTACAAAATGGCTGCCACAGGGATATGATTAATTGCAAAGTACTGATTAAGAGAACTCTACCTGTCATCCTCTCTAGTGCCCCTTCTGCAGGATATTCAGTACTATCCTTGATAAATTATGTTTTGTTTTGTTTTCCCCTAGATAGGGGCGCATGCTTCCAAGCAAAGAATTTGGTTGCAGTTATTTCTAAATACAGATATCTAGAAATTAAGAGAAGGCTTGAGGCTTGCACTTTGCTTTGCAGCATGTAGTCTCTGCAGGTACTTTTTAGTTAAAAGCATGTTTAAAATATGGGAAAATGGTAGGCACCAAGGGATATATCCATGGGGACGTAAAATCAGGGATTTCAGAGGTAGAAACATGTATACAAGGAACCCAAACTGGTGAGAATCATGCACTGAATTAGCAGCAGAGAAAAGATGTACAGTCAAATATATAATTGTTAGAAGATACAGTTTGAAGCCTTGATTGCTTTGGGCTTGAGGTCTAAGGAAGTCTAAGAAACTGAAAGTATAAGAATCTTCTCCCCATGCTTAGTTTTCTCACCACAGAATTCTTTCACTGAAAAGAGAACTCTGCTCCTGAAGAAATCTGGGGGTGGTGAATATCAACAGAAAGCAGTATTCAAACAATAATCAAATTTATTGAAAGGGAAGAGAGATTAGATTACTAAAATCTCGACAACTGGATGCTATCGCTTTATCTCTAAATTCATTAGAGCAGGCACTTCCAATTCTCTTCATTAAAAACAGTCTGAGGAACAGGGAGGTGGCTAACTGTTTTCCTGATCATGGAGGAACTATACAGGTACTGAGCTAGTAATTTTTTGCAAACCATTATTCACTTTCTCAGATTCTGAGAAGCCTAATCTTGCTTTCCCCACAATATACTTTCAATGGCAAAGTCAGCAGTTGTTCAGTACTGAAAAGATTAGTTCCCTCAGAATCAATTAACCCCTAATCTTTAAATGATGAAACAGGGCTTGCAACTGCACACACATGCACAGTCACACACACATCACTCACCCACATACATGCACCCACACACAGTACACTCTCTGCATGTAATTAACTTGCTTTCTCTATGAAAAACCTTCATTGCACAAGAAGCAATAAATATCTTCTCAGAAAGCTAAGTGCAATGAAGCCAAAGTACTGCAAAATTCATTTCACATTTTTGTAGCTTAAATTCTCAAAGAACATAATCTTTGAAGAGCCAGTTGTGTTCATATCCTGAAAAGACAAGACAGAAGGAGAGAGTTAGAAAGGTTGAAAGCTCCAGAGAGCTGCGAAACCTAACATCTTGACGCTACACAATGAAAATATGTTTTGTATGACTCACTTGTTAGCTTTGTATGTTAGATTGACGTGTTTTGAGGTTTTTATGAATATCAGGTATAAAATATGTTTGTTTTCTATAGTTACAAATCCTATCCCCCCAAGACACAACTTTTCTGGACTGATACAATTAGTGGCCTGATAGAGGGGGCACTTTCTGCTGGATTTCAGATAAATGTTTCATGTTATAACAAAACATACGTTGAGGCTGTGTAATACTTTTGGTTTGCAGGGAAAAAGGTACTTTGAAGTGTATCTTTTCTCCAGACTGTTCCTCAGCTGGAAAGGGGAGCTGTGTGAACTTGGGAAAAGATGGCACTGCTGTAAGCTGCTGCTGACAGTAGCTACGTGATCACCCCCATATGCTCTGAAACACCTTTTTCTCTTTGCCTCTAAAGTGGTGCACAGCTGTACAATAGATGAGGGGTTCAAAGCTAAGGTAAAAAATTGACACCAAATGAAATGAGTCAGTTACAGAAGTATTTTAAAAAAAACTACTGGAAAACCTATGATAAATTGTTCCAATACATTTTTAAAATTGCACGTTCTATTGACATCATGATGCGGATTTTTGTGTGCCATTCATAAAATGCTGTAGACAAGCACAATATTTTTTCAATCTTAAATGCTGTAGCTGTTGATACATTATGGCCTCTTCCATGGTACACATCTTCCCCTGATGACAGGAGAACTTGAAGTAGTACCTATACTCAAAACTTACTTGTAACTTCTTAGATAATTTATATGTAACTTCTTAGATAATTTATCTGTGGCAGTAGCCATTGGACATGTTAGCTAATGGAGAATTAATTTTCTTATAAATTATTACAGACTGTTTATAATGTACTCTGCACTCCAGTCCTTACCTTACCCTTCCCTGACAGTTTGGAAGGTGAGTCATTAGGAAAGACATATGAAAGCCTATCTAAGTTTCTCAGCCTTACCAATCTACTTTGTTTATGTTTTTATTGATTATGTGCCATCAAATCAGTGTCAGGTCTTAGATAGATTTTCTCTGTGATGATCTGTTCCTAACCTGGTCCTTCAAGTCTTCCAACGGTGTACCTATCATGACTGTAACTGAGTCCATGGACCTTGCTGCTGGTCATCTTCTTCTTCTCTTTCTAAAATATTATAGCAAATTAGTCCTCATATTATTAATTAAAAGAGCTGAAGAAATCTATTGATATGGAGGAGATTTGACTGTTCCTCTGAATTTGATTTTCCCCATCCAACTCTTTGCAGAATAAATAAATGTTTGTTGCAGATTGGCTAAGAAGTCCAAGGCAATGGCATTGTACCATGGATATTTTATTGCTCAGATTGTAATTTGTTGAGAGTCTCTTGATTGTAGTGATAAATAAATAAATAAATAAATAAATAAATAAATAAATAAATACTATAGTTGATCATTTATTTAGATCATATATGACAAATTACTTTAACCAGAATTGAATTTTTATTAATCAGACAAAAGTCATGTAGATTGAGGATATTCCTTCTGTTTTATTCTTCAGTGTTCTTAACCTCTTTGATTTCCAATTCATGCTTGGCTTTTATTTTCAGAATTCTATCCTTCTAATGCTTCTTTTCCTTCTGTTGAAGGAATTAGTTATTGCTAAGTCAGGCTTACATATATACACACATACCTCTGCAAACACAAGCAGTGAAAATCATGTAGAATTTTACTGTGATCTGAGATGAAATGCACAATCTGTCTTCCACTAACTGTTAATGTTGTAGCCACAGAGATTGAACTTCTTATGGTATTTATTCACCCAATTTCTTTATAGAGAAACTCTGTGTACCTTGCAATAAGGAATATACAGTAGCCTCATGTACTTACTATATAGTGTTCTTCCACTATAACCAGATAGCTGAAAACTCTTCATATTCTTCTGCTGGTATTCAGTGTATCCTCTTAGCAGATCATATTCTCCAAATGCAGCCAGCTTCACTTGATTTTGTTTGAGTGCCTCCAGAGATTGAAGATCCAATTTTACCAATTTCATCTGAGTGTTTCCTGGTTTATTGGAAACCCTTAAGGGCATGAGAAATACCACTGCTATTACAATATGTTTCTGGACAATTGTGGCAGTTGGATGACATAGATCCCATTCAGATGCTCCCTGAATTGCCACAGGCTAGAGGCAGTAATCCATAAAGTATAAGCTCTTAAAATGCAGTTCTACTAGTCAATGGGGATACTGGACAGAGCACAACAGTTGTTGAAATTTCTGGCAGGGAGTCACAGCTAGGCATATTATCCTTGTTTGCTTCATTTAGTAAATTAAGCAAAAATATTTTGCTGACTGAAAGGGAGGGATGCATATTTATGACAGCTATCGATATGGTAAAAGATGAGCAGAGCTATATTCTCACTTTGAGATCTTCCCACTTTTCAGCTATTGAGCTTTGACAGTTAAAATGATATTCTGCTATTGGTGATTGTAGCCATGACAAGACAGGTCAATTGTCAAAGCTCCAGGAATATGAGATGAGGGGTCTTCTCAATCTTAATACCCCTATAGAAGTTGAAGCAATCCTTCTTATAAAGAGCACAGTGTATTAAATACATACTTGAATTAATGGTTACCCATTTCTTTTCATTTGACATAGTTTTCCCAGGTCTGATATCTACATTAACAATAGAGAGAGGAATTCAAAATTACAATATGTGGTAATGCATGATAAAGAAATGGTAGTAGGCCTAAAACCATCAGTTTGTTTTTTCAAACTATCTGAAATGGGGTTATGTTTGCTATTTAGTCTGTTATATCAGTGAGTCATTGCATACTATTGGAGGGGGGAATTTTTATTTTTTTTTGGTCATATTTGGGGACAGAGATACATCTCTCTTTCTGTTATGCCCAAATACAAGTTTGGCCTTTTGAAATAACACTGTTCATTTGTTGCATTTAAACAGTTGTTGAAATCTGATTTGCCTGGGATTTTTCAACAATGCTTTTATTTTCTCCTTTTCTACAACTTCTTAAGGAGCTTCTACACAGAATTCTAATGTGGTGGAGCCAGAAAAGCAGGTTGATAATACTGTGAAAATGGCTGGAGTTATAGCTGGTCTTCTGATGTTTGTAATTATCCTTTTGGGAGCGATGCTTACAATCAAAAGAAGGTAAGTTTCTAAAATCTCTAAATTGCCTTGATTTGGTATGTTTATTATTGCTGTTATATTTTGTTTAAATACTTAGCATTTTATTGGTACATATTTTATGCTCATTTGGGAAAGCAGAGAGTGAGGCAGTTTAGGAGGGTCCCCCCCCCCTTTAATGGAATTTTAGATACATGGCTAAAAGCGAAGGTTCGTTTTTGCACGGGCATTACTTATTTTGATTTTGTGTTGTGTGGCTGTGATGTATGTATATTTTTCTTCAGCCATTTGAGGGAATAATGATGTGTGATTTTCTTATCACTGGCTTGGTGAGTGTGGGAAATATGCAGATTTTTTGGGATATTTATTTACCAGGGGGATGAATACATGAGTGTTTAAATATATAAAAAACAATTTGA